TGCATGGGTTGCCAATCCATCACAAGCACATCCACAAAAACACAAATAAGACAACCAGTCATACACATGTGCATTCACTACTAATTAGAATAATGAGTTAACCAAACATGCATGTGTTTGAATGGTGGAAGGTAGAGGAGGGAAGTTAGAGAACACAGGTGTGCATGGGAAGAACATCAGCAATCCAGAAAAAGGATGTTTTGAAACAATGCATTATTAAAGTGTAATGTATGTACAGTGTAAGAAACAAACCGTGATGTTTTTGTAACATTGACAGTGATTTTAATTCACAATAAAGAATAATGTACTTTTCAAGCCTAACCTCAAGAAGGTCTTGTTTAATACCATCCATTCATCCATTTGTTATACAGATTAGTTCCAGTAGGGTTGAATGGGGGCTGGTGGCTATCCCAGCTGTCATTAGGCAAGAGTGGGGTTACATCCTGGAATCTAATACTGAAAAAATGTCAGAAATAACAAGTGAATGTAAAAAGTACAATTTAGAATAGTTACTTTAGAAACCATCAATGCTCAAGATAGCACTTGAACTCAGTTGTCTAGCAGGAAAGTCATATAGCTCTACTATCTAGCTCCACTGACAACCAAATCCACTTCTTATATATGATACAACAGTTACTTCATGACTTATTTATTATATTCACATTATGGCAATGACATTCCATACAACCCTAAATTACAACTACTGTAATCATTCATGTTCAGCACATATCTACAAAGAGAAAGATATTAGCACTTGTATGCATGTGAATGAACATTACTTTGTGGACCTTAAAGGGCTCATATTCCACCGGCCTGAGGCAGCAGCTATTGTATTGTGATGAATGGACTGTCTCCTGTCCCTGTGGCCACAGGACACTGCAAGACTCCAAGGGGAGCATGCGGATGCTTGGTGGCCTTTATCTTAGGTTTCCTGTCTCCTTACTCAGCACCAGTCAGGCACACCTGCAGGAAAAAGAACATGCGAAAGGTAAAAATAATTCACCAGAGGTACATAGTTTTGTATGACCCCAGACGGACAATGGTCCTTCTTCATCTGACAGTGAAAGTATTTCACAGAAAGTATAGTTCCACACAGGGTTCATGTCATACTGGAGCTGGAAATTTATGGTACTAATAGAAAATATGTCAAATTCATGACACACAAGTTTAAATAAATATTTACATTTAAATAAGTATCCTAAAAAGAGTGTACTGTGTTCTTCTAAATCATCTAGATATGATTGCCACTTATTTGAACATCCCATATGGAGTTGCTTAATCAAATGCTGGCAGTATTGTCTTAGACTCACACGGCTGCCCTCGCCGACTCTATGCCCAGAAGCCACTTTGGCATGGAGGGAAACTGAGCTTTGTAGCAACAATGGCAGGCATGCCAGTGGAGCCATGGTAGCGACTGTGGTGAGCTGTCAGACAGAGCTGTGTGGCAGGACTGTGTGGTTGAAGCGCCTGCTCTCTCCATAATGGAACAGCTGTTTGGAGTGCGGTGCGCCAGGGCACTGGAGCACAGAGTAAATAGTGGAGAAGAGCAATGTAAACAGAATGGGATGGTGGGAGCTGCTCCTCTGCTACTGTGAAAAGGGGTAACCACCCCAGAGAGCTAAATAGAGGGGTTGTCAACACGGGAATGCGCAAACACCACTACACAGGAAGGTTGGGGAAAGAAATGGGGGACGAATTGTGATACTGCCCCAGAATCAGATCCCACACACAAACCTGACAAGATGGGTAATTAAATAATGAATTAATTAAGAGCTGATACTCAGTTAGACCTACCTTGATATCCATTTCTACTTTTCCGATATTTGACAATTTAATACCATCTTGTGGTTTAATTACCAAGCTTTGTCTTAATCTTATTTGACTTTGGTTTTAATTGATTAATGAAATTTAGAGTTCATCAACTGAAAAAGGCCCCACGCACACACATATATACACACACTATATTACTAATCTAGGCTCTGATATAACCTATGTTTTACGGCTCTGATTTATTTCCTCCTATTGTCGTACCAGTTGAGGACTGTGTGATCAGTGACAGAACAACTGCAGCTGTTGGAACAGCGCCGCTTGTGTAACACAACAATCAAGGCACATAAAAAGATTCATGCATGTTAGATGAAACCTCAGACTGAAATATGTACATCATTTGCAAAGCAACAAGGTAGAACTAGTCTCTGTGACTGAAAACAGGCCTAATTAAATGCAGAGCTACCCTCATCTTCTTTGATCTTTTTTAATCAATGGGTTAAATTAATAATAAATCATTTGATCTTTTGTATTTTGAGATCCACTAAAAACTGCAACCATACCCAGATTCCATTGTATTTTATGACTGCTGCCAATCTGGGAAAATGTGCCACGAGTGAGCACTCCCACCCCGACCCCCCATTTCACCTTAACCTTTTTCCTCATATGAACTAACTCCTCTTTTTTGGACTTATTTTACATTCACACATAATCATCTGCAATGTGTCACTCATTACAGTGAGAGACACAAGTGATTTTGAGAGGAAGGACACAATCCAACCCTCAAACAACTAGGAAGACCATGACAGTGAATCCTGCATGGGTTATTTTTGCCATGAAAACAGATTGGCATCATAGTTTTTGCAGAACATATGTTGAGAGGGGCAACTGTAATCCTGTGTAATACTGTGAAAAGCTCTTTTAGCATAGCTGATACAGAATCTTTACAAGCCACTAATAATGAGCAACAGAGAAATGGATTAGGGGTGGCATGGCTGGATCTCAGCCACAGCAAGCAACACACGGAACAGTTAGAGAGCTGACTGTGTGGCGGCAGATGTGTCTACACAACACAGGAGTTTACATTAGGGCAGAGTATCTGACATTCTCAACCAAATTAGGTTCATACAAAGTTGAGTATACAATATAACTTGGACACTTAAAAATGAATGACCAGATCTTAAGTGCCCTTTAAAAAGAAGCAGTCAGTGGCTGAGTGATGTGTTTGTTCTGGTCTATTCTTCCAGCACCTTGTTAAGACCCAAGACCTCACCTCTAACCTTCAGCTTCACTCTCGCAGACCCGCAGACATGCACACACTGGCCTGTCTGTTCGTTCTCCAACCCCCCTCCCAGTCAGAGGCCACTTAGGGTCAAGAAGAGGGTGAGACATTTATGAGGTGTAGATATTTGTGCAGGAAAGCATTCCTCCTGTTGACACTGAGGAACACAGTTTGGATGCTGACCAAGCTGAATCGGACAGGCAATGAAATGTGAGGCAGGCAGGCAGTCTCGTCTGTTCAGTGAGGGGTAACAGAGCCCACATTAGATACTTTAAAACAATTGGCGTAAAACGGGAAATGAAAATGGGTTTAAAAATATTTATATCATGGACTTTAAATGACTTTTGTGCCCTCTGTGTAAAGGGTAATAAAGCAATGTGAACATGGCAAAACATATAAACCTTCAGCCTTTAACCTCACCCAAAGCTCAAGTGGGGAAGAATGCTTCTCACCCCCATGCCACTGATGCAGGAAGGGCCACGGCTAGGAGACGGGGCTGTGGCCATGGTCAACACAAAAGGATGTGCTGGTAAATAAGAACTGTTTGTGTTTGCTGGGCCGCTGCTGGAAATGACTGATGTGCCCATTAGCCCCTGCCTGGGCATTTGTGGGGGTGGGGTTTGTGGTGCATGGGCTGCATGCAGGACAAAAAGACCCCTGGGCCTACAGAGAAAGGTTAGTGACCCATATAGTGTGACCTTCAAGCCTAGTCAGTGTTTATTTCACTGATTCAGGTTAGTGGAAATGGCTTTGTCAGAGCTGATGAGCACATACGCAAACAGACAGATGCTGTAGGTTGTGGATGGTGTGGGCAGATAGAGGAATAAACCTGCTGCTCCAGGCACTGACAGAATAGGGATACATGTAGCCGCTGGCATTTGGTTCTATAACGTTAAATCACGCTGGGAGGCCTTTTTTCTGAATCCAAATTTGAGAGAGAAAATCATTTTAGTCTGCATTCTTATTTTGTGTGATGTAGCTTGCTTTATGTGCCACTAGAGAGCACCCTTCTTTGCTTTTAACTTAAATCACAGGAAAAACATAATAAACAAATCCCTTTAATTTGTCTTGTTACATGTAATTACTGTGATCTAAAAAAAATGTTAATTCCTTTATTCCTTGTTTCCACATTTGAAATGTTTTTCAAAAACTCAAGGCAAATAAAAAAAACTATATATTTTTAATCCCTCTATTTATACACAGAATGCAGTGGAACTTGTCTAAGGCTTGAAACAAAATGCTTTTGAGAATGTCACATGGTTTTTCTTCCACTACCATGGATGCACCACCAAAGAATCATTTCATTCAAACACAAAAATATGCAGATGTATTTTATCATGAATTACCAAAAGTTCACATCCATCTCTAAATCAGTTGGCTTCATGTTGACTGAGCTCAGCAGATAAACTCTGCAGGCTTTATGCTTTGCGTCGACAGATCTGTCTATGTTTACTAAGGAGCCCAAAGCTTGCACAAACTTGGTTTAGCCAGAGATGTTTTGATCAAAGGATTTAAATAAACAAACAAAAGAATTTATTCAAAAATAAGTTTCATGCTGCTTCTCAAATTAATCCAAGACCCCAAACCTCTGGGAAAAGCATAATATAGACATGAGGCAGGTAAAAGTTGCACGGTGTCTTGGTAAAGAAGAATCTTACTTAAGTATGACTAAACAGTACATCCAGTTTCAGGAAAGGATAAATGGTCAAATGTGATTTTTTTTCCAGAACACTAATTACTTAATTATTTAATAATTTTCTTGCCATTTGGTGGAGTAAAATGATGCAGCTGCCTCTCTACCTTATATTTTTATAAATAAAATAATTCATCACTAACGTATTCCCTTGTTAAAGGCCATAAAAAACTCCTTAAAGTGTCTTAAAGCTCTAATACACACACACCTAAGTACTGGATTTAACATCAATGTGGTGACGAGGACGATAAGTCCCAGTCAGATGGTGGGCACCTGATGAGGAGGAGACAGTCAAAAAGAAAAGAATCAATTCACAGGAGTTTGCACATGAGAAGAATCCAGTGTTGCTTTATTTCTCTTCACTAGATGGTCTCTACAAGACCAGATTTATTCAAGAAATGCAAATGCGACATCACACCAAGAAAAAAAAAGTCCCATTCTCATAAAGCGCTCTTGGCCTGAACAAACAGCAACATTGACAATAAATAACGTGTTTGCGAACAAAATAAACCTTTGAGCGAAAAAAATAGTCAGGATTGCATATTAAAAAACAAAATAAAAAAAGAAAGTTTACTTGGCACAAATTAAATAAACTTAAGTCCTTTTCAGATTGAGTGACCCTACTCTCTCCATTGCTTTGTGAATCTGATTGTCCTTCACAGTTAGCGTTTAGTTTGTTTGTGAACTGTACAAAATAAACACAGATGACTAATGAATCCAAAATATTTCACTTCAACAAACTATCAGAACAAAACATTTCACGTTTCCTGTACCTTGACCTTCATAGTCGCATCCCCGGTGGCACTGTGTTGCGTATTTTTGTACTAAACAAAAATTGCTGATAGATGTGCAAGAAACATTTTGTCACAATGTTGAGCCAATATATATGCAAATAGTGGAGAACGAGTATTTTATAGATAACCAGTGATTTCTGATTTTACTGATTTAAGTTCAGTACAGGTGCTTGATAACATTTTAAATAAAGATATTAAAGACACTTTGGTATTTTGTAGGCCATAATGCGTTCAATTCTGCACTGATGAAAACAATGCACAATCAACACATTTTCATTAAAAAGACCCAGTCGAAATGTATCTGTGTAGTCATGATTTTAGTGACGCCACAACACTCATCATACACAAATTTTGTATCACAATGGAAAACTCATATTTGACCCATGACTGCAGTCCAGTGAGATCTGCCTGACGTTCATGGTGATGAGCAGTAAATAAATAAAAAGTGTTTTTAAAATAGGCAAATAAAAAGGTGAAGTAACAGAACACTTTTACAAAAAGCCACTTGACCTGTGTTTTTTTTTAAACAGGAGTATCCCTCTCTCTCAGAAAGTAAGTCTTCTCCTGTTATACACTAAATCCTTCTGTCTTTGTGCTCTGTCTGTCTCAGCAGGGCATATGCAGTGCAACACTAACCTCTTGAATCTTATCTCCAGAATGCAAAGAGAAAAGAAAAGAAAAACACAATACAATGTATTCTACACCTTATAAAAATAAATCAATTGCAAACATGGAAAGATACATTTCATATATACAATAAACTCCTATATAAAATAGCTTTTATGTACATATAGACAACAGACAACAATACGATACAATAATCGAAATTGTAGAATGTACACCTGAACAGTTAAGACAGGTGGGAGGTACTGAAGTGTATGGCTTGATTGGGAAAAAAAAACAATTGAAATATTTACAGACAATTTTAACTTTACACCCTTTACATATTTTCAACTTCCCTGGAATGAAAAGGCATAGAGAGAGCCCCATGATTCACTGTTCAATTCCATTCACTCAGATAAGGCTATCTTATAGCTAGAATTGGTCCACGGTGACTATTGAGCCTCGTTTTTATTTGCTCTATCAAATGCAATCTCAGCTCTTCCTCTTTGATATTTCATAGGAGCTGAGAGTACAAGTCTTAAAACCAAACGTGTGGCTGTCAGAAACAGAATGTGTCAGACAGTCAAAAAAAAAAAAAAAAAATGTAAAAACTTTACTACATTTTGCGATGCCCAGGAAGACCCAGACTTTTTGTTATTCCTCGTAAAAGTTGGACATCTGCTTAACTTCTGTAAGTATTGATTCCAACAAACTCCAGTGTGTTATCTCAGACAGGCATGTTTAGTTTCTGACATGACTTCCATGGGTCCAATGGAGGTTATTCCATTGAATATTTGACGATTTGCAAGGCTGAACGTTAAGTTGTGAACCGTCTTCAGAAGAAGTCCTTCAGTAGTGTCCTTCTGGAGGTTCAGCACATGATGGAAACTCCTTCCACAGTGACCAACTGACCAGTGGTGGGATCATACGTCCCTGCCAGGTAGTAGAGGTCAGGGGAAGTAGTGTTCGGCTTCTGATTGCGAATCAGACACTCATACTCCTCCCTGCTCACCACCTGGCACTTATGAGAGATTGTCTGGACATCATTCTCATCTTCGTGACATGACTGGTAAAGGGCAGGCTGGATAGATAACAGAACTGGTTAGCTGCTTCACAATAATCACAGTATATTGTTAAAATAAAAAGGTCAATGTCATTTCAAAAGTTCAATTTACCACAAAATTTTCCTTTACAGACACAACTCACCTTGCCATCTCGAAGTCTCTTGCCGAGCTTGGTTTCCTCAGGGTGGTAAAACCATTTAACTTTGACAACCATTTTGGAAGTCCAGGATTCCCAGAAGTTTTCAATTTGACCTACATATGGAAGGTTGGGGCGTCCAGCGGAAAGGAACACAGCACAATCTCCAACTCTCACCGTGTCTCTGCCCCGCACAATGGCCTTATAGAAAAGCTTCCGGGCCTTGCCCTTTAGACCTCGCCTCTGGAACATCAGACAAAAGAACAAATTGTCTTTAATGCTAATGATCAGTATTACCAATTCTTGACGTCAGGGTTTCAAAGTTTGTTGAACTGATATGTGAAATAACCTCCATGTATGCAGCAAAAAGGGGGATGAACTTATCTCACCTGTGTCGGATTTCCAGACCACCTCCACGTTTGGCGGCCTGCCAGAGAAGTAGACATCTTAGGCCTTGGAATAAATGAAGTGTCATCTGGATGAATCCTAGGTTTTTTCGCAAACTCCTTTGTTAGTTTAGAGGTGGAATTCATACACTCTTTTCTTTTTAAGTACTTGCTGCTGGAGACCAGGTTGGGGAGGCCTCCTTTGCCACTTGAAACCGCCACTGCTTTTGCAACAAAGGAGTGCTGCCGAGGTCTGGAAGAAGTAGATGGTTCAGACGGCTGCAGAAGCCCCTGGTGGGAGGATAGACAACTCTGCAGCATGACTGCTGAACTGTCCTCATCCTCCGAGCTGTAGGATGAATCATTGTCAGAGGAACAGAGGCTGGAACTTGAGAGAGAGCCTGACGAGGACGAGCTTGAGGACCCAGATGAGGAGGAAGAGACAGAAAGGCGAGAAAGAAAACGACCAGCCGTCCTGAGTCCTCCTGTGGCTGCAACCAGCGCAGTCCTTCTCCTTTCTTCCTCTTCTTCATCATCATCCAGATCAGAGTAGGAACTGTGACAATCTCTGTGCGAGCTGAATCCCAACTCACCGTAATCCTCCAGACGCATAGAAGGTGAAGGCTTTTTTTGTGGTGTGGTTCCTTTCAAGAGAAGCTCAACCCTAGAGGCACCACCTTTTTTGCTGTCCTTAACCAGCAGGACTGGGTGAGAATAAGCCTCTGTCCGGGGCACACCGCTCACACTGGAAGACCCACCTCGCAACAGCAGAGCCTTGCTGTTTTTGGTTTTAGGAGAAGTCACTCCTTCATGATCTAATTTGACCAGGAACTCTTGTCCGGACTTCCTGCCTTTAGGTGGGATCAGTTCATCTTGTCTCCGCTTGTCTCCATACAGCCCACTTCTGACACCCAGAGATAAACTTGAACCTGCTCCTGTAGACTGAGTACAGAAGGAGGAGTAGCCGTTTGCAATGCTTCTAAAGGAGTCCACCTCAAATGAGCTGCTGCTGAAAAGACCTTTGATTGGGACAGAAGATGGCAGCTGGGTCTGAGGCAAAGAAAAAAGGGGATCTTCCTTGCCTCTGATGGCCTTCTTAGGTGCCCCATTGAACTGAAACAGATTCTCAGATGTCCTCTTCCGGGAGTTAGCTAGTGATCCCCATCCAAGGAAAGGTGGAAGATTTTTATTGGCATTTTCAGTCTGCTGCTGCTTTTGTTTTTTCCCCGAGCCCTTTGGTCTTCCTGGAATAAAGAAAAAAAAAGTGACATGAGTCCATACGTTTTAGCTATAGAATTTCATGTTGCTTATTATTTCCTTCACACAAAATCTTCTCAATATTAGAGAGAGGGTTGTTTTTTTATCACTGTGAGGCTTTTTGCATTTTAACATGAAAAGATTATAGAATTGAACTTTAAAGACTGAAGATTTCCTAAAACATAAATAATGAATACAGTTGTGTTACTCGGAGATCTTTAATGCACATCTATCGCTGTATTCAATTCTCACCTGGTTTTCTTTTGATGACAGCGATATTCAGGGTGTTGGATAGAGTGCTTGTGGAGCTGAGTCTGTCAGAAGGCCTGTCACTGAGGGGGGCTTGCTCCAAACCGGAACCTTTCTTGGCCGATGTTCCACAGGGAACCAACAGAGCCGGGGATGACTCCCCACCTTGTTTAGAAATGAAAGGCATTATTAGCACCTTGTTAAATAAGACGACACTCAGCCACACGATATCTCAAAATCTCAACCATGTATTCAGGAGACACCCACAGCTAATCTGGTATCCTGGAGGTAGAAGCCGGATGTTTTGTAGAGAAATCTTTCCTCGGTCCCCATCATCAAACTCTACCATCACTCCTCCCTGCTTTCCCTCATCAGATGAACCACCTGCAAGAGGGGAGGAATTCACTTACAGGTGTGCTAAATGGTGGCATGCTGTGTGTATTGAATGTGGATTTGATGCCTCACCTCTGTGGACGTAGCCTGGGTACAAGCACCGAGAGCGTTCACTCCAATAAGCACACACCCTGGTTCCTTCACTGAGCATGTTCTCAGACTCTGGACGTATATCAAGAACCTGGAAACCAGACCAAAACATAATTAAGATTCATTACAGGTTACACACACTGCACACACACACAGACACGCATGCATGCATGCGCACACACACACACACACACGCAGTTTGAGAGCAATGGAGCATTGTGCATGGGCAGCCACTGTGCCATGTTTCCAAGCGGCACTTATCTCATGCCAATGTGCCAGTCAGAGCTGAAAAGAACGGAAGCCATGATGCAGTAAATCCTGACTTGCTGAGTAATACTAAAGAGGGCCTGAATGGGGGGCTTGTGATTGCAGGTTGCCAGATCCTCCCTCCAACAATGCAGGCAGCCCCAGCATCCGCCGCTCACTGGGGGCTCTTTCAGGTTGCTTTCATTTACTGTTGCCATGGTAAGGGACTCTTTGACTGATGAGGTGTGGATGCTGGTGTGCAGTTGGGTGAGGGGGATCAGTGGAAATTAGGGAATTGGTGTCACAGTCAAATAAATGGCTTTTTGGCTAAGTTTAAAATGCCAAAGTGGAAGTATGGTGTAATTAGAAGCAGCTGCTACGTCAGGAGTGTTTAGATAAAATAAATGTTTCCAGAGGTGCACAGTGGGACATGCCAGGAGAATTAGAAAACAAAGCTGTAAAAGTATATAATATATTTTGAAAAATGTATTTGACATGTGGGTCTGCTTATATAAGCTATTAAAAAGATAAGAGTGACTGAAGGCGAAACTGGACAAAGATGAACAAGTACTGTATGTGCGGAGAGGAAATAATTGAACCACATTAAAATTTAGAGTCTGGGTGCTAAACCAGTCTGCTTCTAGCCCAATCCTATCAAAATATTTGGAGCAACTTCTGAAACATAATGAGCATAGAATTAAATCATAATCAGATAATCAGGAAACAGTTTTCTTTTAATTAAACAGTGCAGTTTGTTTCCAGGTTTGGTGAAGATCCAATGAAATACCAAGTTAGAAAAAGGTGTAGAAATGGACTGTTTTAAGAAAAATTGAAGTGATGTGACCAAACAAGGGATGACTTTTAATGGAACAGACATTATTTGAATCTACTGAGTTAAACGTACAGCCTCCCGTAGCAGTTGCTCCAGTGAATAGATTCTTGGTCGGTTTCCTCTTTCACCATCAATAACAATGCTGAAGCTGGAGGATTGAGCACAGGAGAGAAAAAAAGAAAAAAAGGTTATTTGCAGAGGCTAGTATTATCCTTGGTTGGTTCCCATGTCATACCTTACTCACAATCTGCTATTTTTATAGCATCTCTTTGCTGCATGAGCCAGAGAAGCAATAGTGATACTCACAGCTTGGAATGGAATAATGTAGTATTTGTTACATAAGTACAAAAGACACCAAGGAAGATAAAAAATGGCTGATTGTCCTGACATGAAAAAAGGATGTTTTTTTGCCATTGTTCTTTGCTTTTGGAAATCTTGTTTACCTGGTGATTATTTCAATGAATACACTGTCATCCAGGAATTTAAATGCTAAAACTGTTTGAGCATAGAGTTTGCTGTGTTTTGTACATAAAACCTTGGTATTCATCATTGTTTCAAAGCAGAATTAGCCCATTACCGAGCTTATCAGACCTTATTTCTTCATACAATAAGCACTCGTGAGTCATTTAAAGGTCATTCTGAGGGTTTACTTACATGTCTGGGATATCCAGAGTGTGGACCCTGGCTGCATAAAGAAGCTCATCCTCCTTAGAGATCAACACCTTCAGTCCATCCGTTAAGAGTTCTTTGGTCAAGACACAATTAGGAACTGCATAGAAAAGAGCAGACACTAATTCAATCTTCATCCCCATGAAAATGAACTTTTTATTTTCAGCCTCATTTAGTTTTTCTGTTTTACCATCTGAGCATTTCTTGTGGTACGAGTGCCCGCTGTCCTCTTCTTCTGAGAAGCTGCTGCCATCCATCTGAAAGCCCTCATCAGCTGCAAAGCTTTCCAGCAGACGACTCACCGCTCTTCCCTTTGGCTGGAAAGTATTACAGAAGGAACAGTCAGAAAGGTACATAGGTGTGAGGTTGGTAAATGAAGAGCTGGAAACTGCGACTAAGATAAACTGTTAACATAATGTGAAAAATTCCACATTGTAGATGCTGTACAGTCATTTGCGTGTGACACATACTTGCTGGTCCTTGCTCCTTCGCCCTCTGTTTCCCTCATCATTTTGTGGAGATACAGCTTCGGCTGACCAGGTTTTCCTCTAAGAGAATTAACAGGAGAATGAGGATGATGACTTGAAAGTGGGACACTTTTTAGTCATGGTTTATGCTACTTAAGAGGGAACTATGTGTACACATAAATGAAAAATGTACAATAATTTAATTTATCTACAGTATGTATTTATCATAAGTAAAAATGTTAAAAATATTCTATTGCCATTCAGTGTTGTTTTGGGATACTATAAAGTCAACACTAATGGCTATAATACTACCTTAGTGATGGCTCCTCTCAGCATGGTGTTCTTGCGGGTCGCCCTCTTCAACCTCTCACTGGTGGATGGAAATGTGGCCAGTCCTATGTTTCTCCTGTGGCGATTGCCTCTTGTCCCAAGGCTGCCCCACCGAGGTTCCTTCGGCCTGGATCCACATGTCCTTCTCACTCCTTCGGGCCTTTGACCCTGGTGGTTTTTGACTGCAGTGGCCATGTTCAGCCTACAGGTGGGCTTTTTCCTTACTTTGACTTCCCCTTCCACTCCAGGCAGACACTGAGAGCCTGTGTGGTTCAATTAGAAAAACAGATTTAGACCAAATGAGAAAGGAGGACAGGCGCAAAACAGATGCTTCCCATGAAGATGTGGGGCAGCTTTGTTGACTTATAAATCATTTCAAAGGGCGGTCTCACCATAAAGTTCCTGTCTCTTCTTTTTGTTCCTTGCTTTCTGGTTGGCCTCCAGTTTAACAACAGACGAGGGGCTGGGGCCTGTCACGGAAGAGCTAGAAGTGACATCTCTGGGGGCACGGGCTCTGTAATCTTGACCTTCATCTGTCTCATAACTGCCTTCTTCTTCTTCATCTTCTAATGGTGATAGAAAACAACACAATCCACCATTTAGTGCTTTTTTTGCAAACTTGCATGGATTAACAAACATCTCCTCAAGTCAGTTCTAACAAGTAGAGATCTTCAACTTACCCCACTTCATTTTACAGGCACCTCATTAGCATTTAAGTTAAGCGTTTAACGGTTCATAGAGATGATGTATGAAGTGCTCTGCCTCAGTGGTATTTCCTGGTGTGAACCCACATGTTACTGTGAGCTTGTGTGCTTGGGAAAGTCAGAGCGAGTTTATGTGTGTGTTTGTCACTGGAGCTCTTTGACCCAGCCTGCGAGTCTCCAGGGCTGTCAAAGGCGCTCACAGCCAACTGTCCACAGCTGTGGCCGCCCATCTAACCCAGACCGGCCAACAAGGCCAATTGCTGAGGTGTAACATGTCCACGAACACGCTAGTATGTTACAAGTCATTTATCAACACCTTTTCACTTGGTTTGGTCTGGTTGGTTTAACAAAGATTTAAGTTATGAAAATTTGTAGTGAATTTTAAAATCTACTTTTGAACAGTACTCCGGCTTCATATCTATGTATGTAACTTTGATCTATTATTTTTCTTGAATGGAAGTGCTGTCAAGGTCAGCTTGAGATGATGGCTTTTTTGTCACCAACCTACAACATTATAACATTAAAATATATTATTTTGGAATCATAAACTAAGGTTTAAAAGGTAAAAACCCTGAATAATTATCGAAACGTTTTCAACTGATAACATTTCTTATTCATCCTATCTGATGTAGCAACAAAATAAAATGCTCAGCCCTAAATTTTTGGCCTTTTACATGTGTTGTGAACAGCACTGAGGTAGTAACAGATGAAAATTAGGCTGTATGTTTCTATGTGCTATGTGATGATGAGATTGTTTGCACTTCCAGGTCTATGTTTACGCCATTTGTGAAATACAGGAGAGGAATAAAATGCGGTGTGTTTTCTGTCCATATTTATATAAATCGCCTTACCTTGGTCAGACGAATCACTCTCACCCGAAGAGCTCCTTTCCTCCTCTGTTGCTTCCTGCCTGTGGCCCCGAGGGCCTTTTCTTCTTGGCTGGCTGTGGTGAGTGGAACCCTGTGCCAGGGTTGTGGATCCTTTTTTACTTCCACGACACACAAGTCCTGTCCAGGATTCTTGGGAGACACTTTCCACACTAGCTGCTGAAAAGATTTGCAATATCAAGCCACAAATTAGGCTTATTTTTCTGAAGCTTCACCTTTGGGAAACTGAAAAACATCAGAGCAGCCGGTTTAACGACTGCCGGTACCTACCCGTGTCACTTTGTCCACCAGACTCTCGTCTGCATTCAGCTTTGACTGGTCCTTGGTTTCTGTGTTCATGCTTGGCATTGGAATTGCTGGGCAAAAGTTCTTTGTCCCTGGAGCCTGTTCCTGATAGATTCTTTTTAACCTGGGCCTTCTGTTTGAGCTGGGCCACATCACTAGCCAGCTTAGAGCTTAGCACGCTGTGAAGACTGCTTTTTCTGTAGCCCTGCGCCTTTATCTGCTGCAACAGAGAAAGATGACAGAGCCAGAGCAAAGCCAGTTACACACGCGTTTCCAGCAGTTACAAAAGACCCAGAATCTCAGAGGATGAGGTCTCTCATTTGCACACACACACAGAAACAAAAAAGGAACAGAAGAGACACCAGGAAAAAGATAAAATATGGATAGCAGATTCAACTCCATTAGGTAGCACCTAATGCGAAATGGTGTGCAACAAAGGAACATATCAAAAGGGAAGAAACAAAGAGCGGCCGCTTTCAGTTCAAGTTACAGGACAAAAGAATGCAGGACAGGGGGACCCTGACCTGTGAGCTGCTGAGACGCTCAAAGCCTCGACTGGACAGCCTCTTCTTCCTTCTCTGGCTGTCTCCGCCCCCTCCTAGGTCCTCCGGCGACAAGCCAAGCCCCGCCCCCATCGACCTGCCCATCAAAACAGGAGAGAGGCATTTATCAGAGAAGAATGGCAGTGGTTGGAAAGAAAAAGTGGGGGTAGGACATCATAGGAGAAAAACAGAGTTGAGTCACCTCTGTGGGATCTAATAACTTTCCTTTCTCTGCCTGGTGAACAGAGTGACAAAAAAGGACAAAGGGGGTTCAGTGTCTGAGCTGCACACTCGAAAATTGGGATCTAACAAGAAGCCTGGGACCGTCTGAAGGCGGTGCAGTATAAGAGGCATTAACTCCTTATCAAGGGAGTGTGTTTGTGGCCTGAGAGGCACTGCACTCCCTCTGAAGATACACAGACTGTTTTGAAGGCAAGGCATTTGTATTCAGTTGTATTGTTCTTTTTCCTCCAAGTTGCCTTTTCATATCACTACGGCACACTCTTTCCCCTACACTGAGTAGCATCACAGGCAGACCACTTCAAATGCCCTTGAATTTCCCTCTGGAAGCCTGCCCATAGACCACACAGGCATGAGCCTGGCCATGCTCAAACAAAAGATTAACTTCCCCTCTCTTATTGTGCGTATGGCCAAGGAAATCAGTCATGTATACAGTGCAAGAGTTTGTGAAGTTGTTTGTTTGTTGCGTGTTCCACATATGGCGCTGTCGTCGGATATTCATGCAATTAAAATATGCGCATGCTCGATTGTTTGAGTGTGGACTTTTTATTGTTGGAAAAGTGTGCTGCGTGTAATGTATGTAGCACTCATAATCCGATACCAGTGTGTGCCAACGTGCAGCCGTAATGCACAGAAAGAGGACGTGTGTCAGGCAGTGGGACTGTCTGCCCACTGACAGACTGAGTGACAGAGGTGCCAGTGAAGTGTGAGCTGTCCCTGTGAGGCAAATCCCGCCGTGGCCTGCCTTCCACTGCTGACAAACACAATGTGACAGAGTCCCTCCTCTCGGTGGGGGGGCTGGTGGGGTTGAGCGTACAGTGACTAATTAAACAGAATTGATTTGTAGAGTTTGCTGGCAAGCGGTATTCCCACCTTCCCCCAACCAAATCAAAGCAGCATCACAAAGGACCTGGGTGCTCAAAGGAATAACGGAGGCATGCACAAAAACAAACAATGCCGGCGTAAATGTTCACACAGCTGCACGTATGCGTAATTACAGCGACATAACAAGCAGAGGAAACTGAATGCGTCTTTCACACACACGCCATCCCCAACTCGTGGCGGTTCTAGCAAAATAAAGTAAGAGTGGAGATAAGAGCAGGAATGGTTGGGCTGTCTGCTGCCGAACTGCAACTGTGCAAAAGCATCAGCGCCTTATATCAGCGGGAGTGACGGCTGCAGTATATGCTTTTATAGAACCCTGCCATGCCACGCAACATGGGGCTAATCAGTCCCTCGTCTGCTTGCCCGTTTCTTACTTAGAGGCATCATTCTCTTGTGCCCCTTCACACAGGCGCATAGTGCACAACAGAGAGAACAACCTATGAATAAAAAAATGTGGAACACACGAGAAAAGTAGTGCTATTTGGTGTACTGTAGCCTGTACAAACACCCCATCTTCTACCGTCCACTGCACTTCACTGGGAAGACCCAGCCCATTACCCTTTCAAATGGGTTTCATTGTCATCCAACATCAGCATCCACACTTCCATCAGTGTATGGTGGGTGGGAACGGGGTACATGGATAGAAGGAGAGTGAAGGTGACATTGAAGAGGGGCAGTTACAAAAAACTGAAGACTGTTGACTAAAAATGACAGTGTGAAATAAGAATTAAGAGAAAATAGAAATAATGAAGATTCTTTAAGATGTCATGGATCAACCAACCCCTTTCTGAACCTTAATGGAAAGAGTCACTGATGTCCGACAGCAGTCCCTGAAACCCACTTTGTTTATTTGTCCCTAGTTCAAAATCCAAATTGCATTTCTTTAAAAAAGAAAAAGAAAAAGAAAGGTCTATGTTTTCTAATATTCTTTTTATATGGCTGTTGCTCTTTTATCTGAAACACATATGACAAATGAATTAAAGCTTAATATAAGCTCATCTTTGATTGTCCAGTGTTTGTCTGTGTCATGATTTGGATGTCTGGTAACCCTGTGGGATCATAATGGAAAGGTTGTGCCTTTCCTGCTGTTTGGGAATATCACAAAAGAATCCATCTAACGGCATCCTCTCCTCCTCAGCCAGCCTCCAGCTTCCTTTAAACCGAGCCTAGCGAAGTTCAAAGTGAACTCAAGTGGGGCCATTGAGATATTAAGCCAAAATTAAACATAATGAGAGACCTTATAAGCATATGTAGCCCATAAATCAAATTCTAATGCCAGTCGAGGCAAGTGAAACAGAACATGCTGTTAAACCATTAACACCAGTGTGATTAGGTTCGAAAGAGTACAAGCAATCTTTCTAGAATGGCTCATCAGTTCTCCCTTTTCCTGTTTATGCCAACGAGAGGCAGTCTCTGTATGCCTGTGGTACAGAGGGGCTTATGATACCGGACTGGACGATGGCCAGCTCGTGTACATGAGCTGACTGACACTCACTTGACTTTTCTTTGGCCCTCAGTTGAGGACATTGGACCTGTACTAAGAGTGGGTTTCCGCTTCCTCGGCCGCCCTGGCCCTCGCCGCGCTGGACTGCGGGGAGTTTCCTCCTTCCTGTATGCACAATATGATTTAAAAAGACAAGCAGATAAAAGCACTAAATGATACAAACTTATTTATGTATTGTGTTTTATGTATTTATAAGGCAGCAGAGTCCTGAAAATAATTCACTCTTGAATTCAAACCAATTTTAGACAAACCTAGAAAAAACCTCATAACACTCACTGGTGGTCGTGCTTTCTCTGAAGCTTGGTCAGCTCCTTCTGCTTCTCTTTGTAGCGACGCTGTATCTCAGCCAACTTCACACGCATTGCAAGCTCAGGACCATCCATTGTTTCCATGCTAACTTTGGCTCGACACACCTGTTGTGTGAAAAAATGGAATGTTATTATGCCGACATTAAAACAAAAGTATATCATTTCAAGCTAGCAATACTGTTCATTGTCTAATATTCGTATCCATTTGTGGGATAAAAAGTCTGAAAACCCTTTTTGGATATTTGGGTTTTGATGGATAAAGATGGAAACAATATAGCTGTGTCTTACTGGCTCATTGCGAGGTGTCCAGCTACACTTTCTACGTAAGTTGAAGATCCTCCGTGCTGGAAAATGTCGCTCTGAACTTATACTGCTGTCTTGCTGAGACCCAAACTCCAAAGCACGGGCTGTGGCCAAGGTAGCAAGGCTATGGAGGTCAAACATGAGCAGCTCTTCTTCTGTAGGACAGCAAACACAAGCAAAAAGATTGTCCAACATTTTTACTTCAGATATATTACCATGGAACAAATCTTCACTCCTCCTCAGTTAGATGATGATGAAAGATTTCATATTAGATTATAAAAGGAATTGAGTAAAAATGTAAATGAGGTCACTGAAGCAAGGTTTTAGGTGAAAATTTTTTCATTAATCCAACTCAAGGAGACAGAAACATATATCTTCAAAGGTTACATCAATATGGACTTACCAGATGCTGCTACATCTGTGGCCTTCTCAGCCAAGCATTACTTATGTAGCCTATCTAATTTTGGCACTGGCCGGACAAATCTGTTATAAATGGACTGTGCTACAGGCTGACTAGCAGAGGATGCAAGTCTAGTGAGAAACCTATTTTTTTACAGCGATGCTTCACCTGACAAAATAAATTATGAAAAATAATATAATGATTCCTCACACTTGTTCAAGCTATTTGAGTTCTAAATCTCTTGTAGTTTAAAAAGACACACGAGTTTCTTGAGCTGTCAACAGCATCGTATCAAGGAGACAACATCACTTACTCCAGAATCAGATGATATCCTTTTTTTAGAACCCTCATTTGGGAGCGGTTAAATGCATTAGGACGCCGTGGTAAACACAAAACATCCTTTTGCATGAATAAAAAAACACATGGAGCTTTAAAAAACAAGAAAGCTTTTAAAGGCACTTTCAAACAATGAGGTCTAATTAGCTGGGCAATGCTCCAGGGTGCTGAAAACATCCACCGCTTTTGTGATTACACACCAGCCATGGGCAGCGTGTTGTGTTTGGGAGAAAGGGAAGCAAATTTAGTTGTCTCCTTTTGTGAGTGAAACAGCTGTAGGATGAAGAGACTGAAAGAAGGCACCTTGAGCTGGACATTTAAGGGAAAGAACTTGAAAAAAAAAGAAAGGTGTACACCCTTTATTATTTGCTCAGTTCTTTCCCTCGCCTCTTCTCTCTCTCCCCTGGGGCTCCTGTACCTTTAATACAGTGCTTAGAAAATAAAAGTGCTTTTAACGTGCCTAAGAGGAGCAAACCCAGGAAAGCACACTGACAGGCTCTCTGGGGACGTTACAATCCACCAGAGGCTCCTGAGACCAGCAGGAAGAGAAGACTATCTGGGAGAGAAGAGAGAACGACAGAGGCACGGTCTGGGAGTGGGAATGTGTTCGAATGGAAAAACGTACGGGAAAATCAACTATATGATTATATTGCGTTTGTGTACGTCGGTGTGTTTGAGTCACAGAAAATGGTCCGTCTCTCACCCTGGCTTTTTCCACTGCTACGCTTCTGTTCCTGTAGTTCCAAATCCGCCAGTTCACTCAAAAGCTCCATACCCTGGTTGGAGGGGCACTGTGATAGCGCGGTGGATGGAGTGCTGTGAGAGAACAGGGGGAACGGGGGTACATCTGTGCAAAACGCAGCAGCAATCAGCAGCTCCAGGCTCCAGTAGCAGGGCACCAGAGGTTTATGGGGCACAACAACGGTGTCATGGCTGCTGCTGCAGGCCGAAGCAAAATCTACGGGGGCATTATTAGGGGTCATCTTGTTCTCTTGCTGGTGCTCACTGTCCTTTGCCCCCTCCAGGGGAGGGCATTGCGACTCAGGGGCAGCTGGGGAAGCAGAGTCAAGCTCAATAATGGCAGGCATCTCTGGCTCCTGCTCTCCAGGCATGTTGACCTTTTGATCATTCTCCACCTGACTCTCGCCACCCATTGTGTCATCATCCTCTTCCTCCTCCAAAGTAATGACAGCCTCAGGCCTATCGTTCTCTTCTGTTGAGAGGGGAACTGGACAGGAACCTGTGTCACACACTGGACTCTCGGTAGGGGGGGCGACTGGCATGTCCTCCTCAGCTGAACCCTGCACCTCTGCCTCCTGCTCACTGGGAACATAGCTGGCCACAGCCACCGCTGCAACATCCGCCTCCTCCCTTTGTTCAAGACCTCTTTCAGCCACTCTTGCCTCCTTTTCTGGCTCCACTTCCTTGCGTGGGTGGGACTCTGGGAGAGGCATTACCATCACTTGGCAGTTTAACTCCTCTCCCAGGCTAGCCAGGGATTGGGGAGTATGATCAGCAGGTTCCGCCTGGACTGCTTCCAGGTCAGCTGGTTCAGCCAGTCGAACATCCTGCGGGGAAGGTCCGTTTCTGTAGCCCATGGTTATAGCTGGATAGATGTACCCTGGAGGCAAGTCTGTAGATAGAAATGCAGATAATTGAATCATTAATTGATTGAACATAGTTTCCCATTAAGCTAGAACCCTTCGTTTCAGGATGTTTGGCACAATTTACATATCTGGTCTTAACTTAACAAAGTGAAAGGCAGGAGGGGAAAAAGACTTCAGGGAAATGTGAATTTGCATCCACATGTGTCTGCACAAAGGGCAAAATCTTGATTTTACCAGTAAGCCTAACATTTCATTTGACATGCAGAAGACCTTTGACAACACATCAATAATGATGAAAGGAGTCCAGACCCTGTGAGGTACGGGCCAAAAGGACCAGGGTGTTTTTCTTTCATTACCAAGGTAACAGCACTATAAAGCACCCAGCACATTCAGCAACCATTTCCTCAGCTTTTAGCTGTTTAGTCAATCAGGGGCTTTCCAGAAATGTCTCCCACACATTTAACCACAACACCAGCTGAAAAAAGGATTACTTATGAATGACAAATCTGTCTGTTATTTGGAATATTATAAAAGGTGTGAAATCCTGGAGTTCCAATTCAGCTCTCATGCCACTGATTTGTTCCCTAAATCTAACAATTATTACCATCCATGTTTTCGTTCAATAAAACAAATTTGATGTGTAGTATTGTACAACTTAATTCACTGCACACATGTCATGTCATGTTTGGACAACTTTGACTTTTTTCCTCGTGCTCACCAGGCTCAAGAGACTCTGGGTAATCTGGTGGGGGTTGTCCCTTGCCTCTCTTTTCCTGGGATTCAGCCCCCTTAAGTATTTGAGGCGGGGCAGGGCTGATGGCTGGAGAGTGGGGGGCTGCTGCAGCAGGGCTGGGAGCAGGACACGGCGTTGAGGGAGTGCTTCTGGGATGCTGTCGCAGCGAGGGGGATTGGTAACAAGGGGAGAGGTGAGTAGCGCAGGCCCCCGGGGGGGAGGTGTTCCTCTGCGGCGGGTTGTAGGAATAGGCCTTCGGAGGTTTGGATGTTCTTGGCTCTGAAATCAGTTCCTCTAGTTCATCCGATGGCTCCTCTGGTCTCTTCTGAATCTGTCGAATTAGAAGTAAATGATGGTCATTCGAAATGATATTGAAGGCATGGTTGCATAGAGGAGATATTTTCTATGAATAGACCAATCAGCTCTTTGCATGTGAGTGCAAACATGGAGACAGACCGGATAAGCACCTGTGCATTGTGAGGGGCTTGGTGTTGCATACTGTGTGCAGCTCTGTGCGGCTGCTGCTGCGGCTGCTGCTGCTGCTGCTGCTGAGGTTGAGACTGTAGCTGCTGTTGTGACTGGTGACTCTGGTGCTGATGCTGGAGCTGTTGATGCTGCTGGAGAGCGTACAGCTCCTGTTGCCGTAGAAACTGAGATCGGGAGTACACAGCAGGATGCTGCATATGGGAAGGTGGGCCCCGGGCGCCATACACAGGGGGCCACAGCCCTTGCTGCTCCATCACATCTAATGAGAGGAGGGAGGAGGGATGTGATAAGGGGTAGGGGCGCTACCTTGGAACAAAAGCATATGCTGGCACATGAAGACTTTAAGCATCACTCTTTTTTAGATTCACATACATCATTGCTACATGCAAAACACTGAAATACATCACTGAACAGAGAACACTTGTCTTCTCTACATCCATCATCATCTGCCTCCCCCACAACTATTTTAAAAACAGCAAAAAAATTATAGATAATTTCAAAACAATTGTTTTCACATTTTATGGCAACATCTACTCTTTAAAAAAGATCATTCGTGACTTCACAGAACAGCATCTCCCCAGGCAGCAACAGTCCCACACTCTCCTCTACTCCAGACAAAAAGGAGTTTTTTAAGAAATTAAATGCTTAGGGAATTTTGGAATGCTGCGGGGAAAAAGAACGCAACAATAGTGAATTATAACCAAAGAATGATGGATGTAGGATGATTAGATATCAAAATGTCAGGCTGTAAATAGATGTGTGACCTTCTGGAGAATTCCCTGAGGCATCAATACACAAAAGTCCCACCTTGCAAACAAAACCATAACAGCTTGCAAGAATGTCTTGCAGTAAGTTTTTATTTCATCCTTAGACTTCAGTGAGTCTAAAGATGCATTTCCTTTACATGGTTTGAATTGAAGAATGATTATAAATCAGATATGTGGAATGATAAATGTTACATTTAAGTTGTCAGGCACGATATAAAACTCTTCTTAAAACATCCTTTTACTTAATTTACAATGTTGTTCCTGTGTCAGCTTTCCTGTTTTTACTAAATCACCTTCATCCATCTATCTATTTATTTGTCCACCCATCTATTCTTCCATCTTTTACTCCCTTTTAATTTGCTACAGAATCACAGGAAGGCTCTCGTCTTCTTTAGCTGCCATTTGGCGAGAAGTGGGCTGCAACCTGACCAGGTTGCAAGACAATTAAAAATTTTCACAAATTAACCAAAAACTCTCATACTACATGTTTTTTGATTACGGTAAGAAGACAGAGTCCCCAGAGAGAACCCACCCATACACAGGAAGTACATGCAAACTTCACACAGAAAGTTTCCTCTTGCTGAGAGGCGATGGTGTTAACCACTAGAACACCATGCATCCATTAGCAGTTTCATTGAAGTCATTTTGTGAAAGAGCAAAAGGTTCCACACACAACTGGATATAGAAATGTTTCCTGTGGAGCGGTGTCTTAAGATGCTTCTATCTTCTAAGCTAAAACTCCTGCAGAGTGCATGAGGAAATGTACCATCAAATACTGTGAGCTAATTAAACTTCCTGTTAACTTGTGAATTTTTAGAGGGAATCTTTTAAACATTGTATCTCCCTGTGTTGTGACAGTTTTGAGTTGTGAATATGTGGCTTTTTCTTAAGACTCAGAGCCAGTGAGAACAGTATTGCTACTGGGTTGTGTATTTGGAGAGCTCAAAATATTGAAAATTGAGTATTTGTAAGTAACCAGCCCATAAACTGGAAACTTCTAAACAACCTTCACGAAATAATTTGCATTACAAAAAATGTGCGTCATACCTAGATGATGGGTTGCAGCGTGGGTAGGGGGCTCAGAGGGTAGGACCACCAGCTGGGCTGATGGGTCTTGAGGCAAAGGAAGAACTGGCTGCAAAGAGCCTGGCATTGCTGCAGAGAAGCCATGGGGCAGATTCTGGTGCAGGGTTGTATGACCTATACCTGCGTTATGGAAAGGATTTCAGCAGAGGATTATAACCCTGTCTTTGATGGCAAAAACCAAACATATGCACTGTATAACATTGTTATCATTTTTCTGATTAATAAATGAAAAGCACCAAAATAGGTGAGAACAATTTCTTTTTTTTCCTCAAAACATTTTTACCATAAGAGTGTCCTGTCATCCATAGAGATGGGCTTCCAGTTCTTGGCATCCAGTGATGGTGGGCAGAATGTGCAGCAGGGTCTCCTAACTGACCAGACTGAAGGGAAGTCCCACCAGGGACCATGAGATGAGAAGTGAGATCTCCATGACAGCTGTTGGTGGGATGGATCCTTGCAAACTCCACTCTGTCTTTATTATCCCTGTAGTTATTGCGACACAAATACAAATGTATAAAAGTGAAAACTAAAAAACAGGTGTTCTCTCATCATAAATATTTGAGCGAGGCTTTGAGCAAGAGCTGTGCATTTGTTCACCTGATATATACATCTCTCTCCCTGTCCAGGCAGGGGAGACCTATTTGCTCCTCACTCAACCTTTTCCTTTCCTCCTCAGTGGGATCTGAAGGATACATGGAGCGGGGCGGTCCTGTGAGACAAACATCAACTTATTCATCAGTTTTTACTTGTACACTGTCAGTCCCCCCCTCTTTTTATTCATACCATAACAAAATATAACATAGCATGAGGGAAAAAAATAAAAGAATGCCTTGAAATGAAAACCACAGCCATTTGTTTAATCTCAATTTTTTGGCTCTAGACATAATTGTGCTTTCAGGTTATTGCATCCAGATATTTTTACTGTAACAATGGTATAGATGTAGGTTGTTTATGACTCCTATTGTGTCTTCAACTCAAGGTTTTGATAATCATTTTAAATATTTTTCATCATAATTTTGTTGGGAAACTCCAGTCTCTTATGAAAATATTTGTTAGGACTTTTGAGAGTCATTGTTTGGCTATGCACTGTACTGAACTGATGACATGAAGAGATAGACGATGAGTTCAGATCTAAAAAGGGACAGTGTGTGGTTGGTACTGTTATTTAAATCCCTTCTTCTATTATTGATTTAACGTCTGAAACAAATCTCTGTTCTTCCCAGATAGATATTTGAAACTTCTTTTTTTCCCATGAAAATAATCCTTTCATGCCTCACAATGGCCCAGATAAAACCCTACACCTTTGCCTGATTTAATATGCAGTCTATGAATATGGTAATTAGACTGGCCTCTATCGTCTCCACTTGCCCAGCTGCAGCTGTTCACCCTCAACCTTACTCACTTTTGAGTCTTTGTCTCAGCTAATTTGGAAAGCAGTGGATGTTTGACAAAACCAAAACCAAGCAAAACAACTAAATAAAAGATGGCAGAGTCTCTATACAATGGTTATGCAAACTGCTATGACTATTTTTGTTACCATAAAAAAATCTCTTGTACTCTGTGACGGAAATATTTGTAATGCTTGAGCATTCTTGTGTTCTTTTTATTTTTACCTTTCACGGAGGGATGTACCCTTCCTTGTCGGCTGTTGGGGTGAGTATCTCCTGAGCGACATGGTGGTTCCCTTTGTCTGGCCACTGCCACCGCAATTCCCACCGGTGGCTGTCGAACCTCACTTTCCCCATGACCCGTGTCCCCCATTTCCCGCCCACGCCCATTGTATTCGGTGCGGTCACTGTCATTAGCTGGGCCCTTCCTGGAAGGCAGAGTCTGTTTGTTGCCCTGCAGCGCACAGCTACCCCCTGATGGACCAGATTTGAGACTTCCCAGTCCCCCAAACGGGCTCTTTTGAGAGAGGAGCAGTGGCTGTTGCTGGTTGCTGTACTTAAGCAGGCTTTTCATGGCACTGCTCTCACCCTGAGTTGGACCTTGGGGGTCAGGTTGCTGCTGTTGCTGCTGCTGTTGCTGACCCAGGGACGGTGCTGAGGGGGGCTGTGGAACAGGAAGGTTTATTCCAGGTTGTTGTTGTTGCTGCTGCTGTGAGTGTTGCCCACCAGTGTTCCCTATCTCCATGTAAGACTTCCTCTGTTCGTCCTCTGGTTGTGGTATGTGATGGGGGGGCCTCATAGTCCAGTGTGAGACTGGTGCCTGCTGGTGGTGATGCTGCCCACTGCTGTTGCTGTAACCATAAGGGGACATGTCCATCTTTCTCTTAAGTTCCTGACTATTACTCTGGCTCATCTCAACCGGAGAAGGAGCATCTGGGCCAGGTCGGCCATGTTGCTGGTGGCGAATCCTGGCTACCTTTTGGTTATCTCTTTGTAAGGAGCAACTACCTCCAGGACCATGAGCGGCTCCAGTCCCATTATGTGGAGTCATATTTTTATTTCCAATAGGTGAGGAAATGGGTGGGGGTACTTGATGGGAGCAGTCTCTGTAAGGAGAAGTGTTAACAGAATGAGGCACAGAGTGTCCCGCCTTGGGTCCCTGGGTTAGTGAAGACCTGAACACATCTATGTCCACACCACTATTGATACACTCAGCACTCCGTGATCGAACAACTTGCTGCTGTTGTTGCTGGGAAGGTGGAGGAAGCTGTGAAGGCTGGACATGTTGGTGATGGGACTGCATCCAGTCCGGAGCCTTCTCTGTCTTTCTGTACGGGTGTTGCTGTTGATGCTGTTTTCTCTGCCAGCTACTATGATGTCCAGCTCCACTATTCTTTTCCATTGCTTTGTCCTTGGCATTGTTGCCTCCTCCTCCTCCATTACCCACACCCTGGCAATCAGAGTTGCCAAGCTGGAATGGCCCACTCGATTTGTCCCCTAGGTCTGCCACAGATGGCACAAATGTAGGCCCTGTGACTTTAGGCTCTCGCCCTACATTGACTGGGCCCCTCTCTTGTGAGGCAGGGTTGGCAAGAGGAGCAGGTGGGGGTGGGCAGAAAAAGTCTGGGTGGTGGTGTGTATGGTGGGAGTGATGCGGATGGTGTGGATGGCTGGGGTGGAGCTGAAGACAGTGGAAGCCCCCGGGGTGAGGATGGGTATGAGGGTGAGCATGAGGATGGGGATGTGGGTGCGCCCCTCCCGTTGCAGAACCCATGTGTAAGGGTGGGGGTACAGAGTAGGGTAGAGAGTGGTGAAGTGGTGCCTGACCCCTTTCCAGACAGTCTGAGGGTTCGCTGATCCTCATTTCCCCGCTTATACCTTCCTTGGTACAGCGGACATTGCCACTGGACCCCATATGCCGGCCGTGGGTGCTGCCCCCACCCCCCATACCCCGAAGGGCTGTGTTGTCCCCACCACAGCTGGACATGGAGACCTTGGCCCCTGTAGCAGTTCCCGCATCTCCATTTTGCATCTTGCCATTGTGCAAGCAGGCACTGAGGGGTTTTCCCATACTCTGAGGATGCTCCTTGTTGTACTCCATTGTGAGTGTAGCCTTGTGCCTCTCCAGGGCCCTACTATTGACCTCCTCCAAGGGCAGGGGGTGCTGTGAATAGTGAGGGTGGTGCTGATGTGTCTGGGAATGGTGTTGGTGTGTGGTCTGGGCTGTCTGGTGGCTGTGATGTTGCTGCTGTTGTTGCTGTCGTTCTTTAGCTTCTTGTTTGTTATTGGACCTCTCTTTTTCCTTGCCAGGTACAACTCCCCTTTCCACTGATCCCTCTTTGAGACCTTTATGTATATTTGACCCGATTCCTGGATCTCTATCTCTGCTGCAGGATGCCTGAGAGTGCCCTGAACCTGCCCTGGACATCGTTGGCAGGCTATGATTGGCTGAGATTAGAGGTGGCTGGGATGGGAGACCTCGTAGATAGAAGTTTTCTGCAACGAGAAGAGACATAGGTCAGTAATGAAAAATACATCACGTGAAATATACAAAACCAATGACAGAAGTTTTGGCTCTGATTATAATGTTTTTGAAAATCTTGTTGTTCACATTATGGAGGACCATACTGCTTTGCTTATGTTTTCTTAAAATTATTTTTCCTCTGGATCTTTATCCTCTCACAACTCACCTTTTTGTGTATCATAGAAACGGTGCTGCCCATAGAGAACTCCACTGTTGGCATGGTGATCCAAGTGGCTCATTGGAAGGAAAGTGTGTGCCAGACTCCCTGAGAATCGAGGATATCCAGGACCTGTTATGAGTGTGGGAAGGAGGAGGTTGATGAGACATGACAATAGCCACCATGATGCAGTAAATGCAGAGTAATCCTTAAAGTCCAATGCAGCTGGTGGTGTTCATATGCAAATAAGTCCTGGTTCAGTGTGTAATATTTAGCTTCCCTGGGTGAGAAACTATCTTTGTTACATGCAGCTCCATCTTTATCGCACTTTAGAACTCACTGTGACAAATCTATTAATCTGAAGAGAATGAGATGATTGCATTTGAAGTTTGTGTGACCAATAAGATAGATGGCTTTTCCCGGAGATAAAAGGTTATTATGATGTGGGGAATGTATGTCAGTACACCTGGCTTCAACTCATCATGCAAATCTAGAGGACGCTTACACTAAAAGAAAAAATGGACTGAGATGAAAGCTCACCTAACTATTAGGACCAGCATCTCCATGACAACCCACTTTCACTATAATTGGTTAACTATAGCCTCTCAACACATTAATGCAAATTCAATTAACCAACCTCCACTACTGTATAAATAATAATTTTACCAAACAAGAAGGAAGTAATTATCTCATGACATAAATATGAAAACAAAAAAATGACAAATAGTCCTCTGTGGCTGCAGTTTGATAGAATTACAGGGGACATTCTTCACTGAACACATTATGTAATTTGATACAAAAAAGAGACACGATTATGTTCATACTACTAAGCGACACGGGTAAACCTTTAAGCGACGATTTGATGAATGAGCCAATGCAAGAAAGAAAGCGAAGGTTGGAAAAACATCCACACAATAGACACACATTCATCGGTAGTTGTATTTGACTCTATTCAAACCTATTTCAATGATAAATGGACAAACAAGTCATCAACTGCCTGTCAGCATGTAAACATTTCTATGACCACTGTCTCCTAGAGAAGCTCAGGTGATTGTCTGTACTGCTTTTGCTCTGAGCTACACTGTCAAACAGGACTAATATATGAAGGAATGATAAGGAAATAACAGAGGAAAGGAAATCTCTGTACAAGTTCAATGAAAGACTGGCATATTTGTGTTGGGAAGCATGTGACTTTATCCAGAAAAGCCCAGTTGTGTTTCATTTGGCCTTGTGCATACGTGGAGAGCATTGTTTTTTTGTTTAGTTTTTCTACTGCTGCTGAGTGTTGAATATCTCACTTTCTGCGTGTAGAACAATGGACTTGGTGTTGTGAGTCAGCTCAGGGGAGGGAGGAGTGTTTTGGTGGGCTTAATGACCTCGTCTCATTGTGGCCTCTGCATCCTCCCATCTTAATTAATGAAATGCACAGAGAGGGCAAACAGCCCTTCAATAACGCAGGAAGTGCAGCTTTCTGGAGAGGGCAATAAAGTGATAATTGCATGCGCTCACCTTTTTTTTTCCTTTCACCTGTTTTTCTACCTTTCTTACTCTCTTCTCTTCCATCCCATTGTCTCTATCTCTTTCTTTGCCACAATGATTAATAAGTATGCACGTTTATGGCAATTTTAGAGCAGAAGGAGGAGGGAGAACCTTTTGTTTAAGCAAAACATTTTTCTCTGATTTTGTGGCGGCGAACAGCAGAAAGTGCTTTGCCAGTCTTTATCCAAGCTGAGAGAAGGCTTTTTTTTCTGCAGCAGCATGTTGTTTGCGAGCGTGACGATTGACGGCGTAATCCCTTTTCACAGTGTGGTCTGGCTGTGCCCGATAATGCCAGCCCGCTCAGTTTCAGCATGCTCTCCAATGGGGCAGAAAGAGGGGGACTGCTGGGCATGGCAGAGCCCATTCAGCCATTAATCTGGTCAGGACAAGGGAAGCTGCTGCTGCTTCTGCCACTGCTGCAGGCGACGTGAGCAGGGTCTTAGTGCAGTCTGCTGACTGCACAGCAGTACGACTCTCTTTTGCTCCCTTCCCTTACATACAATACACACATAGCCTGAGAAACATGTCAGCGTCGGCAAATGAATGACGGAGGAGAGTTCCCAGTGCCCTTCTTTTAGTGGGAGCAGTAGGGACAAGAAGCAGTGCAGAAAGAGCTGCATCCCAGGGATGGATTTCCAGAAGTTCGTGGGGGTATTTTTTACAGCCCAATGGGTTGAGCAAAGCAAGCTGACAAGGAAGAGAAAGAAGGGGGCTAGATATAGAACAGCACCTAGAGGCAGAAGAGAATTAGGCTTGCTGCATTAGCATTAGGCCCCTCCCAGCTTTTGGAGCACTAGCCACATCAAACCCACATTGAGCATGTCTGTAAATTTGCTTAAAGACCAAAAAAAAGAAATCAAGAAAAAAAAAGAAGTTCTAAATTTTGTGCTAGGATTTAGGTGTAACATTTCAGTAGCTGAGGAATGGATGGACAGGAGAGTATGAGAAGACCAAGAGGAGAGAGGAGGAGCTGCCTGAGCTGCTTGTCTGGTTTCCTAATTGAGAAAAAGTGACAGAACCATCAAGACACTGAAAGGGAGGGGAAGAAAAGAGGAGACGAGAGATGTTTGGCAGAGGAGGGGCAGTGCTGTGGTGTATCTCCTCAGGTTTGACTAATTGAAAGGAAGGGGTGCAGGCTGGCACAAGAGAGAGAGAATGAAAGAGGCAAGCGTGTAGAAGAGAGGTGGGGGTGCAGCTTAAATCCTTCAAAAGGAAAGCGAGCAACTGCTCACATGAGGAAAGATGGACAACTGAAGATAGGCTTGGAAAGGCGTATCAAACAGCAGTGGATTAGACAGGTGTGTGCATGCAATCTCATGTGTGTATGAATGTGTGTATATGTATGGACAGAGAAGTGAGACTATGATTATTTTTGGCATAATGTGAGAAGTCATTTGGACAACGGCCAGCTGGCCTCAGGCATGTTAAGAGCCTGCAGCTTTTTATCTTCTTTTCTTAAAAAAAAAGTCTTTGTTTAAATTTTTTTGATAAGCTAATTTAGAGGAGCCTATTCCAAAACCTCCACAAATTAGAATAGTTCATCAGTGCTAACAACTTAAGCAAATCCAGGAGGTTTTGCAATCCAAACTGAACTTGTTTTGATACCTTAATTTATTTTCTCTTATTACTTATTATGTATTTTTCATCTTACTGGGTCTTTTTTATTGATACTGTCCTTTATTCACTTAGTATTTTTTTACTCTTTTGTACAACACTTTTGTCAACTGTGGTTATTTTCAAGTGCGTTTTGAACAAAGCAAACTGGATTGATTGATGAGCACAACAGAAAGGAATATCTGAAAGAAAAACTGGAAAAAAAGGAAACTAAGGGAAAAAAAACAGAGGCCTTCAGGATGCTACAAGCTTTAGCAAAGCAGAAGCACCCAAACTGAGAGAATGAGAAGGCTGGCGGTATATTTCGTTTACATGTCCTTTGTAGATTGAGTTTCAAACAAAGATTAATCATTCTTTCCCTATTCTGTAACCACAAAGAAATATTTGTAGCATCATGAAGACTTTGCATAGATGCCCCAAGATTTATGTTTTTCACTGGGTATCCCTTCATCTCCAAAGTGATTTAGATTTAAATACATGTTGGGATTTTCACTCACCAGATAAAAGTTCAAATGAAAGAGGAAGTGAATTCATGTTCTGTTTATACGCACAGTTTGCAAAGACTTTATCATGAGAAGTGAATATCTGATTAATGAGATAATTGATATATCCAATTTGTGGAAAATGTGTCATGGGAACAGCGGAAACAAAGACATCCTTCGTAATGACAGGTATATATACCCGAAACATGAAAATCAAAGATCAATTTTAGAATTCGAATTTTAACAGCAATGCCTAGGTTTGCTTGCCAGCAACTTGTTTAAAAGCATACTGTGAAAAAAGACAAAAAATCCACAGCACATCTTTGAGGTTACAAGTGAGACTCTATTCTGCTGACACACACACACACACACACAAGTCAGTGCCTCTTGTGCTGCTGGTGGGGTGCTGCTGACACCCAGAGTGAGGATGCGAGAGTCTGAGTAATTGTGCTGCTCATTTTGATGACTTGCTTTTTATGCAAAACAGGAAAAAGACAATATGCAATTATGTTGAGGAGGGAACAGCTGAATGTGGTTGATGAACAGTCTGGATTCAATCATGCTCTTAGTGCGTTATACGCAATTAAACTGCAATAGAGATAATGGCTTCCATTGCCAACTGAGTAATAATCCCAGTAATAATCACCTCCATTACTTTTATTAGGCTTGGCATTATCATCATCACTCTTAATATTATTTTACTTTTCCTCTAAACGAAAGTGTTTGACAATGAAACCTTGAGAGTATAAGGTAAGACAAACACCAATCCTTTCAAAATGAGCCAGGAGGGGAAAAGTTTCTGACTGAGGTAATACTTAAGTTCATATCTAATCTGAATCTAGTTGTCACCTCTTAAAGTTTATTCAGAAACTGTGAGTATGTCTCAAAAGACTCAGTCTGTGAGGGTCAGAACTTGATATGAACGGGGAGGAAGGGGAAAAGTTGCCTTTAATGAGCTTGACAAATTTAATAACAGCTTGACAATGTGATCCCACATTGGAGTTTGACTGGTGGATGTGGGTTGCCACTTTGGGAAACCTCTCTCCTTAGTTGCAAGATCGCCAACTAGAAGCCTGTAGTAATAACCTCTATCTATTAAACCAAGGAGGATCTGGAGAAAAAAAAATCAACTGATTATTTTAGCTGTGTTCTGTTTGCGGGACTGCTCAAAAAGTTGGGAATGGATTTCCCCCAAAAATCTGTTGCAGATGTGCCGTTGTTTCAGTTCAGTAGTGATATACTTCTTATTTCAGTTTCAATTTATTATTTAGAATGAGCAAATCTTTGCTGGGATTTTAGATTTTCTCACCTGAGAGAGTTAATGGGACAAGTCTTTCCCGGTTTAATCAAGAATCATCATATTTCATCATATTTATTCCTTAGATAAAGTCACTTTTTGTGACTGCAAGGAGTTTTATCGTTTCTTCACTGACCAGGTATAGAACCAGGCGGCACAGCATGAAAAGAAAGTAGCATTTTGCTGACGTTTCTGGTTTGTTTTCATACAATATGGCGATGCTGCCCCACAGCTCATCGTACTATGACACTTGGTGCTATTTCTTTGGCATCTCAGCTACAATTCACCTCGCCCTGCCTGTGCATCCAGCTGCTGGAGAACTGCTGATGAGTTACCCCACAAATAAAAAAAGCACTCCACTGATCAAGCAGCTGAAATAGCCTGACACAAATAAAAAGATAATTAAAAGGCGGCATGGCAGGAACCTGTCAACTTCAAAGGCTGACTTACTAGATGACATTGGATGGCCATCCAACCGTGTAATTAGAAAAGAGATTATGGACTTGTTAATATAAAGTGACAGAAAAGAGGTCATAGCGAAGCAGACCTTGCAATGATATATCAGTGGGTGAACATGACTTACAATTACCTGTTATTCCAGGCATTTTGATTCCCCAAATTCCCAACCTAGTAAACCTCGTCTGACTTCCTGGCTGAACCTGAGAAGCAACGGGCTGAACTTAGGTCGTGTGTTTATTTTGGTCTCACTGCTCACACCTTTGTGCAGTCAGGGTTTCATAATGCTGACTGTTAGGTGGGAACTCCCCCATTAAACTGTGATGGAAACAAGCGAAAACCTTTGATATCACTGCGATTGTTTTGTTGGCTCACATTCCTATGTGCTGCCTCAGAGAGTCTGGAGTGTCATTCCCGCTGACACGAATCGAATACCGCAAGACTCCTGGGCTGAACTTTTGACCCCATGTCTGAATCCAGACGTAACGGCACGGCACTCGATCCCAAACACACTGGACTTTTTCTTCGCTTAAATAAGAGGCAGAGAACTCAGATCTTGCGAGATGATTACACGTTGTACTTAACTGGAAATCCATCACACCACAAAAATATACATATATGAGACCAACAATAAACCCAACGAAAGTCTGTGTCCAGTTGTCACGACACGAATAGTCCCTTGTTCAGAAGATGTGGCCAGCTGATGACATGTGTGTTTGTGTACTCGTGTGTGTGTGAGTAGTACCTTCATGTGAATGGGGAAACCAGATTTGAGAGGCGCCTGAGTGGGGTCCACCTCTGAAGGAGGGTGATGAGGGCGAGGAGGGTGGCCGGGAGGGATGAGACGGGTGGGAAGGAGGGGAACCCAGACTACTGGCCAGAAAGGTCCCCATGAAGGAGGCGGAAGAATTGCCCATCAATCCACTGCCTGCATTCCCAAAAGGACAAAGGTAAGAGAGAAAACAGGGTTACAATTATAGGAGTGAGCTGTGACTGTGATTATGACCGAATACGCTGGCTCTTTAGTTGAAATCATCAAGCGTGAGAGAGTGTGAATGAGCAAGAGGGTGTGTGAGTGTGTGACAGAGAGTGTGGAACTCGCCTCCCCCTCACTGTCAGCAGAGTCCTCTCCCCTCGTCTTCTCTCCCCTCACACCACCTCTCCCCATGGGCAGACAGAGGTCTCATCTCACAGCTGAGTACACACTTTCTCAGGCTCTCTCCCTCTCGCTCTCACACACTTTTGCTCCAGCTCCCCAGTGTCCCTTTCTCAATTTCTCTCCCTCCCTCCATTATCTTGTTCTCTCCATCTCTCACTTTCATGCCCTCAATCTCTTTTATTGCTTTGCTCCATTTCACCTCCTCTTTTTCTCATTTTTCTACAGTCTTGTGTTTCTCTGCGTGACTCTGACAGTCTTCTTTCTTTTTTTGGGGTTCATTTTCTGTGTTTCGCTTCTTTTCCTTCTTCCTTCCTCCACTTTGTCACAATAGCCTTTTCCTCTGTTCTCTCTCCCATTTTGATGAGCAAAAATAAACTGTGTTTATGACGCTTGCAAATCCTTATTGTCTCTTCTTTCTTTCCCTCTGTCCCCATTTCTTTCTGACACATAGCTTTGCTTTGCTTTGTTCTTCACCATAATGATGGCACCAGCAGAGCAATCTGTCCCTGGCTGGCTGAACTGTGTGTTTAACAAGACTATGATGAGTAATTGACCATTTGTAGCAACGCCCATGTGACTGGGGGCTGATTGTCTATTATGCATTGCTGGGCAAGCTGGAGAAAACACACTGATTAACCACTGCTTAAATTGCATTCCCATTACGTGCCCGCTAGTGCACTTGAGTGAGGGGCCCGGGTGCCCAGCTCCATCTCATTCATTTTCTCGCAAGTCACACCACCATGAAGTCTCATGCATATGTATGAAATTGCTTGGATGAGAGCACACATGCACCTACTTGCAAAGACGCACACATTGGTCTATCATACATGTACAGCTGTATCAAAAATAGGGGAGAGAGCCACTGAAAGAAATTAATTATCAGCCCCTCATGACAGCTGCTCTTGCAAGGTACGCCATTTGATTTGATTTTCCTTTTGGCATGAATAGGTCCAAACATAAATCAATCCTTTTCTGGTAGAGTGAAAACAACTATATAGAAGTCTTAATCAGCCAGTCAGTGAAAGAGGACATCCTCTGGGCACACAGGAGGGATAAAGCCATCGGTCTGTCTCTCACACCTGCACAGACTCGCCTTTGGCTTATAGGCCAGGGCACAGGAGCAGGAAAAGCCCACATCCATACACACAGATCAGCCGCAGGCACTGAGGGCGATTTCCATGCACCTCAGTCACACTTTGTACCACGGCTCCAGACTGGTAAAAATCATCCATGACCCCCGAATATCCAGAGCTCTGCCTCGTCAGCATTCTTTCATTATGAAAAATACAATTATAATGAAAAATGACCCTGCTATTCTGCCACATTTCCATAATTTGTTGGGAATTTGAAGCCATTCTATAGTCATAATCAAAAATAAATATATATCTAAATATATAGGGTATACACTACAATTTCAACTATTTGCAGAAAAAGGCATACATACAAATGATGAGGAGAACTTTGCTGCTACACTAACATTGTAACTCTTGATGGGAGGCATTGCTAGGCAATTGTATGACACATCATAAAAGGTGTTCTTTCGACTTTTCAGCCCCTGTTCCTCTCTTTCCTCCTCTGCTGTCACCTCCTCTCACCCAGTCCCTGTGGAGCACTCCTGGCATAGCTCTATGAACTATGTGGAGGGGGATTCATGCGCAGCTTTTTTTTGGTGGGGGGTTGGGTATGGCCAGTGTGCTTACCAGGCACTCATCCAACCTCCATCATTCAAACACATTGGGCTCGTGTATGCCACCACCCTCTACAGCGCACACACTCACTTCCCCCTTCCTCATCTCTCTGCGTGTTGCCCCTAGGAACCCCAGCTTTCCTCACAGCCTCCAGCTCACATAATCAGCTAATCCTCTTGCATTATTAACAACCGTTCCTCAGAGAGAGAGACAAGGGGTAAGAGAGACATAGAGTGACAGAAAACAGCCATCAAGCCCTGCTTAACAAACCAAAGGAGGAAAGAACTTCTGGCAGAGAGACCAGGAGACAAAACATAAAATGTCTTGATGTCAGACAAGGATATCTTTGAAATCTAAGCTTATGTTAGGATACAAGGAGACTGAACAAAACATTGAAATTATGTATCAAACTCTGTTATTAATACATTTATAACAGAGATGAGAGGCTGAAAACATTTTAAACATGAATTAATGCAGGTACACAGCATAAGAATCCACTGACCATTTCAACGTGGTTGCTTGCTGACGCTACAATCTGTCAGTAAAAATAAGTTCCAGCACCCTATGTTATGTCTGCTGTTTTCCCTCTGATGAATAAATTGCACAATGCTGCAAAAAGTCCATCCATCCATCCATTTTTGTAACCGCTTATTCTCTAATGGGGTCACGGGAGGACTGGAGCAAAACCAAGTTGTCAATGGGTGAGAGGCAGTGTACACCCTGGATGGTCCACCAGTCCATCACAGTGCCACACAGAGACACACAACAACCCACACAGACACGAGAACATGCAAACTTCACACAAAAAGTTCCTGGTTCCCCCCTGGACTTGAATCCAGAACCCTCTTGCTGTGAGGCAATGGTGTTAATCACCACCACACAGCTGTGCTGCCCACTGAAAAAGCATATAAAAATATTCAATCAAGGAATGAGTTCCATGTGACAGAAGTGTGGTTGGTAAAGGACACTTAGAATCCGCTGGTCCACTTGTGTGTTAAGACTTTTTCAAGTTGGGTGCCAACCCAAGCAATTTCAAATAAGTGAAGGTCTGAGAAATGACTGTACCTGGACTGTACTCACTCACATTTGTTGTTACTTATTAACTGGTGACAGTGATTCAAAGAGCTTTCAACACTACACCAGTTTCTTGTACAAATCGTGAGTTTTCTGCCAATGTGTTTTTTTTTAACCATGTTTATTTATGTCTGCAGTTTTTTAAGAAAATCGGGTCATGTGCATTCTAATCGGCGCCAATCCCTGACAGCGATGGAGGTTAATCCTATTAGGGAATTAAAACTGAAGGGAACACTAGCAACGAGGAATCCCAACCTCTCTCCCTGGCATCTAAACATATCATCCTGGCATGCGCATTTACAGTTATGTTCTAATATTCTGAAATATACGATACAAAGATAGACTAAAACAAATACCAACACACCTCTGGAGGGGGAGGCGGTAACTAGTGCTACTGTTCCTGTCCTGTGTGGGTGGTGGAAACCATTTTGCACCGAAAAAATAAAAACATGCATGCACATGTAGTAATGTGGACCCAGGCAGAGGGCCCTGAAGGCAGCATGGAGTGAGCAGCCGGCTGGGAGGCGGAGCGGGAGAACGAGGGCCCAGTTGTCATGGGAACGAAAGAGAAACGGCGCTCAAGGCAAGTAGGCATTACAACAACAGTAGTCAGATGTACTTGGTCAGCATGCTGCGCAGCAACAACAGTCATCCCAACCAACCTTGGCCCCTCCTGTAAACACACACACACCTTTCCATGGAATTTAATCTGGTCTTAATTGTAAGGCTGCAAGGAGGAGGTGACATCGTCTTTGTCCTGTTTGAGTTACCAATCTGCTCCGTTAACCCTCCTACTCATTAAAATTACTCAAGGGTGAGTGATTGTGTGGTGTCTTAACAAGGAATTATACAATAATGGGATGTATAGGGATTCAACTAAATGTGGGCCAAGTGGCAACAGGGGAAAAAAGCTGAGAAGACAACAGCAACCACCCACAAGACGTTGTTCTTTTGAATGCTGGGAATCATGCTGGAAATTCCTCTTTAAGAAAGACGCACCCATTCACACACGTGGTCACACATGCAGCTCTACAACTATGCTCACAATTGTTTCATATGTGAATCATATTTCCTTCTCTGCTCTTGAAAAATGAGCCAAGGAAGTATTCAGTTCTGTCTGATTGTCAGACGGTGGCCTGAAGGGACGGATGGCTGTGCTGTCTAGACAAGGACACCAGACAGACAGCAAGAGGTGAGAGCGATAGTGACAAGGGACGAGAGACAGAGGGAAAATTGCAGGTGTGACAGCATCAACCTGCTCTCCACAGCTCAGTGATCAGCGAGTGCCAGAGAGGCTATTAAAAAATAAAAACAAATACCAGGGCATACAAGCACACACACAAACACATGCACACGACCGGCTTATAAAACTTTCCATCTCAGACAGAGTCAGGGAGCAGAAGGCAGTTGAGGATGCATGGTAGTCGGTCAGTGCCCAGTGGAAGTCAGGCTGTGCAACACACATAATTATAGTCTCCCTTACATTTTTTTATTCTCTTTCAACCAAAACACAAATCTTTACACAATTTAAACCATTTTCAGAGGGTGCCAAAAAATAAACTAAAGCTGTCTGTATATTCTTAGAGCCAGATGTTAACTGTGGTATCTAATGCTAACACTGATTTCTGTCCTATGACAAAAAAACTGTTTCAACAACAAAATATCGAGAGCAAAACCTTTTTTTTTTAATTAACTGTCAAATAATAATAACCAGTACTTTAGAATAGTTTGTCTTGTTAGCCCTTCATCAATGTATGGAAAGATATTTTGAAGCAAGGTGAAAACAGAAAAAGCATAGAAAAAAGGCATGAGAATATTGACTTACCAAGGAAAAACATGCTATGCTGGATGTCTGTTGGTATAAGAGTTACACTTCCACTTCAGTGTCTTTGTCAACAGACCTTCCCTTACTGATGCAGTTCCATGTTCAGTCCAGGAATTCAGACGCCCAGGAAGAAGCCAGCCAGACTTTCCACACACATACATTCACTCATAACCACATTACTAAGTTTTTAGAAACTTCAATTACACCGAAAAACTGGACTGGATGGAACATCTGTACACAGCAGCAATCCCAGACAGACTGCACATGCTACCCTGGAGGGCCGCTGACTAACCCAGCGCCTACTTCCTCACAATAAAACACAGCAGGAATTTGAAATGGCTACTAAAGTGGGGGGATTTCCTTCGAACAGTCAAAGTCATCTTGAAAACATTAGTATAACTGGTAGCCAAATGTCCAATCACTTTGGACAACTGTTGCAAGGTTGTTGTTGTTTTTTTTGTGTGTTTTTGTTGTTGTTCTTTCATGGCTTCATGAGAATAAAGGAGTGGGCAGTAGGAGGTTGCTCTGATCAAGAAGTATTCTGAAGTGAGAGTGAGAGAGGGAAGTTGCAAGCAGTCTAGTGCTGGATCTGAGCCCAGTGCAGGGGTGGGGGGAAAGTGCTAGCAGCGCACGCCTCCGACACTCTCCACACTGCGTGCCTGTGGAGTGAGCTTAGTGGATGTGGTCAGTGCGGGGGTGGGAGAAGTGGAAAGGGAGAAACAGTTGGAAGGAGAGATGGAGGAAGAGACTAAGAAGGACTCTTGGATACAGGGCAACATCCAGTGGAGTGGCACGGGGGGAGAGTTTAGAGCAGATAAGAGTGTGAGCAACTGTGAGAAACATTCAAAGTGAAAAAAGCCGTTGAGAGCATGTGTGAGCCGCCGAGCATATGTGAGCTTGTGTGTCGTTGTGCGTCCAGATGGCAGTGGCCTTGCTAAAGTTGACGGTCTGTGTTTGCAGAGTGGCTTTGTGGTCCACCACTTGCTCACTCTTGAAGTGATGACAGGGTGAAACAGAGTCTGAACCCTGTTTTTTAAGAAGTAATAATGCAAATGAAATTGGCTTGGAGAGGTCAGCCATTTCACCAACAACAGCTTCACCAAGCTGTTTGTGAAAAATGCAAGCTGAAATCATTGCCATCAGAGATTCTAATCTTTAACAAACGAACCCAAATGGCTTTTCTTTTAGTATGGCATGAAGCCGGAAAACATCAGTGGATCCAGATACTTGTTGGTGCCACAGAGAAAACAGGAGCTAAAGCTCCCATGGGGTAGTTTAAAGACGATAACACCTCTGACTGTTTAGCTAACACCTGTCTGTGGGATTGAGCGACATGGGCCGAACAAGCAGGGATGAGGATGAAGAGATGGAGTTAAGAACTAAGGTTTTGTATAAGCAAAGAAAGTAAACACACTTAAGTGACACAAGACAGAAACAAATATTGTGCAGTCAGTTTAATCGTTTGTTTGTGCCTGTTCTTGTCAGACTGCTGACTACATCAGAAATTGTGACTTGGCAGCAGCTCCTTGATCTTTCGTGTCAACTTGCCAAAAGTATCTCCAGACTGTCTCTCTGTTCTTGTAAAATCCTTATTTTATCACAATAACATTATTAAAATGTTAACAAAATTGGGAAAGAATACATTTAAATTTCTGTTAATAATTAGATTCCCCCTTCCCTCCATGTGCGTTAATGCTGCCATACGGATGGCGGACCAATTAACTGACCTGGTCAATGTATAATCATAGCTCATAGCTGTGTGTGTAACCACGCTGATATAGACTAAATGAACGCACAAGAGCTGGAGCAGAATGTTGTGGCACAATGAGAGTTTAATGCTGGGAAAAGGTAAAGGAGCTGCTTAGGTGTGCTTGCAGTGGTCCATGTAAAAATGCAGCTGTTTGCTGAGTCACAGGCTACATCTGTGGAGAACAAGCGCACATTCCAGACTGGGATACAGAAGGTGGGAGGACAGATTTGAAACAGCAGCAGCAGGCCAGGACAAATGAGCTCCAGGCCCATTACGCTCCTTTTACACCCACCGGTATAGTCATCCACATTCCCTATTCCCATAACACAGATTTAATATCGCAAACAAGAAGAGCAATGTCACATCCTAAAATTGCAACACTGTGCTTTCCCTTCCCCATTTTTCTGTGAACTTAATTTCACAAAAAAGTGCATCTTGGCCAAGTCTAAAGCCGTTTTCTTATTAAAGGGGACTTTCTGTCCGAGCATCATATTGTTAATACCATCAGTTTTTTATAGATTAACTTCCCACCAGGATTCAGACTAAAGCAGTCATTTTCTTGTGTCTTGGTTAAGTGGATAAAGTCTTAGTGTTGATCAGATTGGAAAAATTGATATGGGAATGAACTTTCCACACTCTTCATACCATAACACAAGAGTCGAAGGTTCCTCAAGGGGAAGCAATGGTCATGTTCAAATTCTGGTGAGTTTGTGTTTCAAATCATACAAGAAAGTGTTTCTGGGCCATTTGTTTCATCCCAACCATTTATTCCTGAGGCGTGAAATTTTGATTGCCAATATGAAGATCATTCATCTCGGACTCCCATCCCCAAATGCTTGTTATCATTTGTGTTCTATTTAGCTTTCTCTCGTTCCTGCCCATTTTTAGTTTGTCCCTTTCATGATAGACACACTCCCCCTTCTAAACACAAAGCAACACACCCAAACTCCAAAAGAGCCGCCCACAGCTGCGTCAAGCCATCTCTTTAACAATCCAATCTGTTTTCTTTCCCATGATGTTTCCCATTGGCACAGGGAGAAGAAAATCAGATTTACTCCCCCACAGGGCCCATGGAGTTTCACTGATATGGAAAATGATTTCAGTGCTGCTTGAGCCCATAAACATTATTTTGGTCTCCCCTGTTAATGACACATTTCTTCCCAGCATTGTGGATCTCACAGCGGAAGAGATGAATGTAAGGGGGTAAAAGAAAAGGAGGAGTAGGAGGACAAGAGGAAGGGGAGAGGAATCCTCGAGGGCCTCACATACATCAGGGGAGTCCTTCACCTCTCAAACTGCATCCTGACATCCAAGACTTTTTCTCACTCCCACCTCTTTCACACACAAATATACAAGCAGAAACACAAACAGCCAATCAGCTATTCAGAAGCTTGAACTGTAACAGTTGCCTTGTAAGTCTTTCCCCCAAAAATGGGAGCGCCAAAATATCCCTTTTGGAAAACGAGTGAAAGAAGGATTTCTCACCTCTCTATCTATCAGGCTGTCAGCCCGACTTTAAACATATTTGGCTTCAGGGCTCAAAGCAGCCTCTCAACAACTGTGTCATACAGCCCACATATATTTTATTGGTGGAAGCAGCCAATTGAGCAGCCTCTCTTCTCCTCTTAAACACAAGTATAAAATGTGTTCTCTTAGTGGTAAGTCACAAACGCTTTCTGCTGGAGGCATATTGTCAGCAAGAGGAGCATGCTGTAGCCTCAAGTCCTACACACCAGTTATTTAATATGATGCTGTTTAAAAAAGGACAATAGTGAGACAATAAACCTCACATTTGACATTCATTAAAGGCCATTTGCAGGACTTCAAATGAGGTAGTGAGAAAATAGCCATTTTGAATATGTCTAAAAATACGGTTCTTCTCTATTCTCCGGTTGAAACTGTACATCTAAAAATGGGACTTTTGTGGTCCTTCTGTTGAGCTACAAAACTCAGATGGAATGCTTTGGATCTGGTTTATTTTACAGCTGATGATTGATCTGCCTAAATCTGCTGGTTTTATGTTCTGGCCATGAGAATAGATGGGTGACTAACAGTGGTTTGCGTGCCTCCCATGTTTCAGCCGAGGCTCCGCCAGCCAGGTCACGGACACAGACATGCATGGTGGTGGGAAAGAAGCAGATTAAAACAAGCACTCAGCATTTTACTCTCTAATTAGTCCCCTGTTAACTTTTGAACTTAATTGGTTAATTGAGATGTGGTTTTACGGGGCAGGTTTTCCTTCGCCTGGGGCTGACCGTACGGCTCCAGCATTTCAGCCTGGCACTGCCTGGCACCGTAGGTGGCTGCCTCTCCCTCATTCTCTGTCCTTGTCTTTTTCGGCATCCCACCACTCCAGTGACAGTCGTAACGATGCTGCACAGGAGGCAATAAAACCGTGTCTTGCGAGTGTGTTTTAGCCATGATTGGACACATGCACTGCACATATGCTCGCGCCACATCAAAGTAGTGCTTTGACTACCCAGTCCTGGGTGGTCTAAACCTCTCCTCTCACAACTAGCAGTGCTAGGTAGATGGGCTTTGGAAAAGCGGAGTGTGGATGTGGGTGGATGTCTCACCACAGGCGAGCGGTGTTCTGTCGAATTCAGAAGTCAGTTTGCTTTGGAGGAGACATGAGCAGCATGTGGAGGGAGAATAAAAGTGCACAGCAATACATACACAGATAAATACACACAACCACATCGGCATCACATTGCTTGAGTCTCCCCATCCACTCATGCTGATGTATAATGATACCCACAACACCACATAAATCTGCAAGCAGCGCTTTTCATTGGGGCAGATTTTGCCTGCTGTCTTCCTTTTTTCACTTTTATCGTCTCGTCTCCTTTTACTCCCTCTAGCTCCATCATTCATTCCCCTTCTCAGTTTTCCCTTTCGGTCCTCACACCCTCTCCATCACTTTCCTTCCCCTGCTGCTCAGCTCCATATTTCTGTCTTCCCTCATCACCTCACTCTCTTTCCTCAGTTGGCGTCAGTCACATGCGTCAAAATGGAAACACTTTCTCTTTATTTATTTATTTATTTATTTTCAAAATTCACATATTCTTCCTCTCCTGTGTCCCGTTAGCGATTTGTTTCTCTGCTCCTGTTCATCCTTTAGATTTTCAGTCCTGGGAGCTGAGGGAATGCCGTCTTTTTCTGTGGAGTCCCAGTTTCACCAACCCCTCCATCAAAACCACACGTTAATGAAGATCCCAGCATTCAGCTGCTAACTATGACTTGTCAGACTGTCCCGTTCTTCTTTATACTTTCATCCTTTTTGCCTTCTCTTCTATCTGTGGCCCGGCGCCTCCTGTAGGTCATGAAGAGCAGTACTGGACATGAGGGGCCTGGCTGAAGGCTTCACTTTGCTGCTGTCTTCTGAGTTCCCTTGGATCAGCTTGTAATATGATAAAGTCCTGGAATGATGTGTGTGCAAGAGAGGGAAGGCAGCTCCCTGGTCTGGCTTCTCTCTGTCTGATGTTGCCTGTCAGAGGCACAGAGGCAGAACAGTGTAGATAACAGAGCCGGGAGCTGCCGCACCCGCCAGCCTGCCCAAGGTCTCTCCGCAGCCCTGAATGTAATTTGCCATTGGTTCACAAGGGGGAACAAAGGAGATATGCTTAATTCTTGTAACATTGGTCAAGACAAATTCAAGCATTTTTTGCCCTGATATCCTACAGACAGGGGGAAGCACCTGGTTAGACGAGGCCAAACATTAAACCTTGTATAGAGCAGGCTGCAAAATCCCGCGTGTCTCCTTGGAATTGTTCAGTCAAAATGACAATACTCCACTCAGTTAATACTGAAAGACTGTTTCTTTTCAGAATCCGGCAGCCTAGATTCTCCAATTCGCCTAAGTTCAGCCAAATTATGCAGTAAATTCATTTATGAAAAGCCTCTGTCGGGACCAGGCTTTAAAGTTGAGTTATGTCTGTGACTGCTGACACTGGTCATCCATGGAATGCTGACGCCGGGGCCTGTTCAACATCTGCTGCAATACACTTGAGCAGAAATTTGCATTTCCTGCAATCTGTACACATGAGAGAAGGTCAGCTTCACCCAAACATGAAGAGCGACAAAGAGCAGGGCAAAAAAAAATAAAAGGCATCTCATCTCACTGGTTATCTTGATGGGATTTAACGGCTAGGAGTGAACAAAGCTAAACTCAAGGTGAAAGCCCTCAAAGAAGGAGGGGGAATATCACCTTGATCAACTGCTCATTGCTCTCTTGCTCTGCTTGGTCGGCTGAACGGCTACCACTGCAGCCCTCCATCACAATGCACAGTGATCACATTAAGTCTGCTGGATACTACATGGGCGGGCGGGATGGTCACGTGGAACCCGTCTCCCACTCCTTTTGTCTGCACATCGTATGCATTGATGGCAGAGAGGAGGAGGGAGGTTACATGAGGACTGCAGCATCTGATCGAACTCAACAGATGTGCAGCAGCTGTTAGTTTGGTTTGTCTTTGCACATCGTCAAACTCACATACCCACTTAAAAGTTGCAAAAGTACCGCTCATATATGAGTAAGTAAAATCAAAACCATATATTTTCCAAATGGTTATTTGGGGTCTCAACTGAGAATTCTGTATCCCAGTGTAGCCATCAAACTGACTGTAAGCTGTACTCCTATTCTATCCCATTAGTTGTCTTTAACAAAAAAAGCTACGCCCTGGTCCAAAAGCCTCTGTACTATGTTTTATTGCCATCAGAGAGGCTTTAGTTATATGCTAAATGATTCAGAGAATCTGTAAAGGAAGACAGTAAGTCAAAGCTGTGGAGTTAAATAGGGGCAGTACACATAAACCATAACTGGAATTCTGCACATCCACAGGAGAGCAACAGCTTTCAGCGCAACACCAGAAAGAGCTAAGCACACTGTAGATCTGGCGGAGGCTAAAATGTAGCGAAAGGGGAGGAAGAGGTGGATGGGGAGAGACAGGGAAAGAGACTATAGAAGAGTTATTAGTATGGTGTGAGGAAATGAGGGGAAGAGGGTCTACTGAAATGTTTTGACAGAGAAAAAGCAAATATGACAAAGGTACTTAAACAAAGCAGTCAGATGACATCTTTCGTTTTCTGTCCCCTCTTCTGTTTCCTGTCTCTCTTTCTGCTTATTTTTGACACACACTCACACAAGGATAATTAGTGCTACAATTTAAACTGCTCATCTTTTGGCTCTTATGACAAGGCTTGCCTGAACCCATAAGAGCCTAGACCCATTTTTCCTTAAAGGGAAATTATAGGTAATAGAAATACAACCAAAAGAACCCCATTTATCAGATATATTGTAGAAAAAAAATCAGGTACCACCGCAAGATATCAAAGATCTGTGATTTCGATAAGTTTCATTGGCCATTTTTAACAAATGTGGTTTGGTTTAAATGGGTTGTTCCACCTGTGTCACTGTGGGTTAAGACTGCCAGGCTTTTGCCAAGCCCAGCTGAGAAAGCGGGATCCAGACCCTTTGTGAAGGTTACTGAGACACTAAACACATCATTATTTTCATGAGCTAACACAAACAAAGGCAGACTGGTGACATGGACACCCTGAACCAACAGCTTGCCTGTTCTACTGCACCACAGCCCTGCATTATCATTTATGCAATGTTCTGCGGCACCTGACATGAGCAGTTAAGCATCATTAACTGAAAGCCCGGTGCCATGCATCCCTGTACAGGCGGTGTTTGCTGGACAGTGTGATTTCCACCCCTTACTGTATTTGTTTTGGCACGGCATCCTATTGTGGCACTTGGCTTTGCGCTTCTCAGATAAGAGCGCAGTTATGTCAACATTTGGTGCTGTGAAGGAGCCGCCCGATTGTGTTGACATTCTGCAACACTGCTTATTTATTCTGACCACAGAGTTCAGCCATCATCTCGGCCCTATTTAACTAATGACCGCACGTCTCTTGGGCTGGAGCCCCCTCCTGGTTCTGTTCAGTACTGGCTCTCTTATTATTAGGTGAGGGACAAGATGAGTTGGGACAATTAATGACCTTTAAAAGCTTCTTTTTTTTTAGCAATCTGCCAATGGATGCTGAAAAAAGCTTCTTACAACACACACAACCCTTTAAGGAGTCAGGCAGCATGACTCTGCATATTGAGTTGTGCTGAGCAGCGTCATCAGTAAAGACCCAGTGAAGCAATCTATTTATAATTAGGGTAGGAGGAGGGGGTTAATTGACTTCTTTGAAAAAGATCCTGATTTTTATCAGCCAGTCCCCTAATCATGGTATCGAGGGTACTCATTAAGCCCCCCCTCCTCATCTATCTCTTCTATTCTTCTCCCCCCTCAGACCCTGTAAACCTCTCCCTCGCTCACCTCTTCTCCCTAGCTTTAAAAAAAGGTTCGAACCCCGAATGCTCTTGCTGTGTCCTCATCAGGCTTTGAGCGAGTGAGACAGAATTATAGGTTCCACCTAAACGGCACACACATGCACACACAATAGCTCCAGACTGCAGCTGACCTGATAATGACCTCAGCATGGTAACTCACTAACAGCAAACAGCAGCCAACATGGTTGTGATCTGTGCCCAGCGATGTTCTCCTCGTGCAAGCACACCACTGCACCAAAACACCGTTTTATTTTCATTGTTTCCAACATGCCACAGCACAGCAGGAGCACCATGAGTGCTTCAGTTTTTTTTTTACAAGCAGAAATGATATACAACATAACTACAGGCACTCCTACCATAAATTAAATGCATTATGCCAGTTTGTCAACTTATTCAAATATTTACAGAGACTTGTCCACTAAGACGGGGCTTTGCAGAGCATGGTTCTAACCATTTGCGCAGGGAAACCAGCTCTCTGCTGCCCTTTTTCTGACTTACTCCCTTATACTCCCTGCTGTTTGGAAATGTGTGATATTCAGAGGAAAATTCAATTAAAAAAACAGAGATGAAAAAGAGGGATGGTGAGGAGAAAACAAATAAAAAATGACAAATGAGAGATTTCCCTCACAAGCCCATAAAATTGAGAGATGTGGGCAGGGGCAATATGAGGCCAAAAACTTTTTTTTCCTTCTTTATAACAGCCAGCGCTAACCACCTTCCTCCTGTTACAAATACACGATTACACACCTACACAAACATGTGTTCATTCTCTCACACACACAAGGGTGTACACTCTCTCCATTCCTCTTTGCACGATCTCCAAGATGTTGTAGGCTGGAATGGCATCTTCATTGCTCTCCACCACAGTGGCCTGGCTAACTGGCACAGAAGCTTGTCTCATAAAACTCACTTACAGTTTGGAGCAGAGCTAGCTTCAAAGCTAAAAGGGCCAAACCAAGCATGCTCATTCTGCAACATAAAAACCCAGCACTTGTGCGGGGGTCAGTGTTATACAGCTGGAGCTACAGGTAAGCAGCGCTGACAGTGAAGGGGGATGGGCTCTTCTAGGAATGAGCTGTATGCACACAGTGGGTTGCCAGGTTTTCAGGGAGGATGCGAGAGGGCAGAGTGTAAAGGCACCCTGCTGGGTTTTGAGGTCTCCAATGAGCTGCAGACAACAGAGTGAGAAATGGAGCGACTGTCAGCAGGACTATCGAGCTTCAGTGTTTGTGTGAGGTAAGTGTTGTTAGATGTAAGGTTAAAAACCCCTGAGCTCAACGTATCTGGGCTGTGAAATGAAGGCGGTGACCATGGCCAATGGAAGGCGAAGTCACGACAAGAGAAACCTGAGCCTGCAGGATGGTCCCAAAGACTGGCAGACTGATGGAGATCCAACAGGACTTAGGATCTGCTTTCATTCTGAATGTTCGCCATCTGCTTGGCTGCAAAGAGAGCTAGAGGAGCTGGAGAAAACTCTGTCAACTGACAGATGAGACAGTGGGCTAAGTGGTGTATGTATGTGCTTTGCATGTGTGCACTTGCACAGACACTATATCAGTATTGATCCTCAAAG